AAACGCAGATACAAAGAGACTATATATAGTCTAAAATAAAGGAAACTTAAAAGACTATTCTACCCTTAATAAATAATAAAAACAAAATAATAATATATTTCTTAAGATCTCCCCTCAAACTTACAATGCAGCAACTACAAGCATCGAGAGTTTGCCAACTAGAATACGAAAACGAGAAATAGAATGCGACTTGGTAAAGAAATTTGCAAGCTGCAAAGAAGAAGAAACAAATGGTAAAGTAATTGTGTCATGCTTGAGATGATGACGAGTAAGGTGACAATCGATCTCAATGTGCTTCGTTCGTTCATGAAAAACCGAGTTGTGAGCAATTTGAATGGAGCTCTGGTTATCATAATACACAGGAGTGGGATGTGAAAGAAAAACTCTCATATATGCAAATAATCAACGTAAACAAACAATCTCTTTGGTAGTGGATGCTATAACATGATATTCTGCTTCGGTTGAAGATTAAGAAACAATAGATTGCTTCTTATTCTTCCAAGAAATAAGAGAATCACCCAAAAAGATACAGAAGCCAGTAATAGACTTACGATCTGTGGGATCACTGCCATGATCAGCATCAGAGTATGCACGCAGCTCCAAGGAAGATGTGGATGGAAGTAAAAGACTCTGAAAGACTGTACCCCGAAGATATCGCAAAATACGAAGAACAGCTGCCCAATGAACTGTAGTAGGAGAAGCAACAAACTGACTAACAACATGAACAGCATATGCAATATCTGGACGAGTAATAGTGAGATATACCAAGCTCCCAACAATAGTACGGTATAAAGTAGGATCTGATAAAGGCAAACCATCAGAAGAAGAATACTTTGCGTTAACCTCAATGGGAGTATCAACAGTCTTATTATCAGTAAGTCGAGCCCGTTCAAGAATATCTGCAACATATTTCGACTGAGAAAGAAGATAACCTCTAGGTGAGCAGGCTACCTCAATACCCAAGAAATATCGTAGAGAACCCAAATCCTTCATTTCAAACTGTCTAGCCAACTCTGTCTTCAAGACTGAAATACCATCAATATCATCACCAGTAATAATCATGTCATCAACATATAAAGATAGAATGATACGACCTGCATCAGTGCACTTAACAAAAAGAGCAGAATCATGACTACTAGAAGCAAATCCAAGAGAAGAGATCACAACAGAAAATTTCTCAAACCAAGCACGAGGTGCTTGTTTGAGACCATACAACGCCTTCTTGAGTTTGCAAACATACCCAGAATCATGTGGAACACCAGGAGGGGGAGCCATATAAACTTCTTCTTGAAGATCTCCATTTAAGAAGGCATTTTTAACATCAAGTTGAGAGATACGCCACTGACGAATCGAAGCTATTGCAATAAGAGTACGAATAGTAGTCATTTTTGCAACAGGAGCAAATGTCTCCTCATAATCCATACCATACTGTTGAGAGTACCCTTTTGCAACCAACCTAGCTTTGTATCGCTCAATTGATCCATCAGAATTAGTCTTGATCTTATACACCCAACGACAACCAACAACACTCTTACCAGGAGGTAGAGGAACCAAATCCCAAGTACCAGTCTTATGCAAAGCAGAAAGTTCCTCATCCATAGCTTGCTGCCAAAGAGGATCAAGAATTGCCTCTTTATAGGAAGAGGGCTCAGAGAGACAATGAATAGAAGCTAAAAAGGAAGTAAAAGATGAAGAATAACAAGAATAAGCAAAATCTGGTAACTTTGTAGACTTACGAATGCGTATGGATTGACGTAGAGGTGGATCCACAGTCTCAGACGGAGCTTGAGGGACCATAGGAGAAGAGGGAGCTTCAGGTGTGCCGGAGAGTAAAGTGTCAGTACATGCAGAATGATCAGTATTTGAAGTGCTAGGAACTTGAGATGACAAACTATCAGAATCAGTAGAAAAAGGATCTATACGAATAAGATCAAATCTAGTCAAACTATGAGTAGTTGATGGAATAGAAAAGAAAGGTATATGCTCGAGAAACACAACATGACGAGACACATAAAGTTTCTGAGTTATTGGATCAAAACAACGATACCCCTTTTGACCTTCACCATAACCAAGAAAGACACAAATAGCAGATCGAGATGACAACTTGCTGCGTTCTACATGAGGACGAAGAACGAAACAAGTACAACAAAAAACTATAAAGAAAGAATAATCAGGGGCATACCCATACAACTTTTCGAAAGGAGAAAAACCTGAAATATGAGAAGATGGAATTGTATTAATCAAACCTACAGCAGTAAGAACAGCTTCATCCCAAAACACACTAGGAACAGAAGTAGACAACAAGAGAGAGCGAGCAGTTTCGACAATGTGCCTATGTTTTCTTTCAACAACATTATTTTGCTCCGGAGTATCTGTACACGAAGTTTAGTGAATAGCTCCATCTAAGGCAAGCAGTTCACAAAATTTTTTAGAAGTGTATTCTCCACCCAAATCACATCTAAAACATTTGATAATAGCAGAATGTTGAGTTTTGACAAGAGCACGAAATGCTGTGTATATCTCAAAGAATTCAGAACGATGTTTCATTAAATAAACCCAACAATAACGAGTATGATCATCAATAAAAGAAACATAATATCGAAACCCTCCTTTTGTGACAACAGGAGAAGGCCCCCATACATCAGAATGAATCAAATCAAATGGAGAGGAAGAAACAGAAATACTTCGATAAAAGGTAAAGCTGGAAATTTTGCTAATTTACATCCACTATAATCTGAAATATCATAAGGTTGCAAATTCCCCAATGCACCTGTAAAAGCCAAATATCTCAAACGAAAAGACGAAACATGACCTAGGCGAGAATGCCATAAGTAAAAACTAGAAGAAGAAGGACTCAAACGAAAAGAAGACAAATCAACACTAGTAGCAGTAGCAGCAACTGGTACTTTTAACTCATCCAAAACATATAGACCCCTCTTCCTACGGCCTGTCCCAATCAGTTTTTGAGACTGCAGATCTTACACATAACAAGAAGAAGAGGAAAATGTGACTAAATTACCAGAATCACATAACTGACCAACGGAAGGAAGATTTAATGTGAGTTTCGGAATATGATAAACATTAGGGAGAGACAAGTGAGGTGTGACAACAGAACCAATACCTGCTAAAGGGATAAGAGTGCCATTAGCAGTCATGGCAGGAATAGAAGACGAAGGAGACACGGAAGCAAAAGATGAAGAATCTGGAGACATATGATGTGAAGCACCAGAATCCCAGACCCAAACAGAATGTGATATACCTGAAGAACTATGAGGCAACTGACCTGCAGAAGCAGACATAACTTGTAGCTGTAAGGAGAGAAACTTCTAAAATTGCTCAGCAAGAGTACCAGGATCGGTGAAAGGACCCGATGAAGCTACCGCTACAGTATTGGACTATGGTGGTCTATAACCCCGAGGTGGTCTACGAGCATTCGATTGTGATTGATTGCCAGGCTTCCAAGTTTGGAATTGCTGCACGGTTTGATTCTGCTGTCTCAACATAGGACACTGAGCCTTCCAATGACCTTTCTCCTTACAGAAGCTGCACTCATCAGGGGCAGCCCTTGCGTGAAACATATTCTGATTATTAGACAGTGACTTAGAAGACACTGCTAACACAGAAGGATTAGAAGTAGAAAGAATTCCCTTTTCAGAATAAGACTTAAGACGTATTTCTTTAGCCAATAACTCACTGACAACTGAATCAACAGAAGGAAGTGGGGAACGATATAAAATTGTACCTCTAAGTCCTTCAAAATCACTGCGAAATGCCGTTAGAAACTGTACCAACCGTTGCTGCTATTTATGAACAATATAGGCATTACACGCCTTTAATTCTACCGATTCTGTAGGAGCCAATCGATCCCAAAGATCTGTTACAGTAGAATAAAACTCCGAACACTCATATTCTTCTGCTGAAGAGCTCGTATGTCATTCTCCAATTGATACTGTTTTGCAAAATTTGATTGAGTGAATAACCTTTGCAGATGTTCCCAAAACTCTTTTGCTGTCTCATACTTTGTCAACTCTCTACCTATGGAATGTTCAACAGAATTATTAATCCAAATAATAATTTTTAAATTGTTTGCTTCCCAAGTATCTATCGAAGCAGCATAACCCTCATCAGTATCCATAGGTTTCACAGAAGTTCCATTAACATATCCTTACATCTTTTTACCCTTAAGAAAATTTCTCAACACATAACTCCAATATGAATAATTCTTTCCATCCAACCTCACACTCACAGATTGAAGTGAATCGTCTCTATCAGTAGCCATAATAAAAGAAAAAAAAGAGGAAACCCAAGTCGCAAAAGTAAGGGAAATGAAATACCAGATTGCAGAAGTTGAAAGAAAACTCTAAGGGAAATGAAATACCAGATTGCAGAAGTTGAAAGAAAACTCTAATGAAATACTAGATTGCAAAAACTGAATGAAAACCCTAACGAAATACCAAACTGCTGAAACTGAATGAAAACCCTAACGAAATACCAGATTGCAGAAACGGAATGAAAAAATCCTCACGAAATTTAGCTCTGATACCATGTTAAACAATCCAAAGAGAGAAAGAAAAGGAGGTTAGAGTTTTATTGATTCTGCATAATGTAATTGAATAATGAAAACCTAGATACAAAGAGANTGTAATTGAATAATGAAAATCTAGATACAAAGAGACTATATATAGTCTAAAATAAATGAAACTTAAAAGGTTATTCTACCCTTAATAAATAATAAAAATAAAATAATAATATATTTTTTAACAAGTTCAAGGACGTCTTTTCTGACAATATAAAATTAATAAAAAGAACTTTAAATAAAACGTAACTCTGTCCAATTAGAAGCATTGATATTCACAACAGTACCTAAAGAAACATGGTTCATTCGAAGTAAACATGACAGTTAATTTAGTTGAGAATATTTGTTGGCAGAAAAATCTACACCAACTAAAACTAGTTCTTCTAACATGCAGACAATTAAACCTCATTCAGATAATGGATCCTCAATCTTCTGTAGTTGAAGGCTGCGCACAAGCACAAAATTTGGATTTCTTTCGCCTGTGAATTGTTCTTCTCCCATTATAAAGATAATCCCTCAAAAGAATTCTTCTTCTTGATTCAGACATTGTGGATTTAACTCCCATTTCATTTTCATCATCAAGTTTCAGCAAAACAAACTGTAACTTCTGTACAACCAATTGCAATCGCGCAATTTTTTCAGAAATTCTTCTAGACTGAGCTGAAAATCTCCGTCTGCTAGCACTTCCATCCTCGTCAGACTCAAATGAGGAGTTTGCATTGAAGAAGGAGCTGTTTCCGACACGTTTCATCAATTTCTTGTTGAGATCAAATAACTTCAGGATGGTCATGTCAGCTTCTTCGAGCTGTCCCTTTAGTTTCTCACATTCAATTACAGCTTTGCCCCTTTTGCTCTTCTCAGTAATTTCGAGTTTCCTCTTTAAGTCTTGAACCGTAATTTCAAGATTCGTCAGTTTCTGAGTATCATAGTTAAGCCTTTCTAGGATCTTCCTCTTATTCTCTTTCTGGATGACCTCAGTTGATCTTTTGGGGATCTCAAACTTGTCCATACTCAAATCATTTTCAATCAATGTATCCGAAATAAGACACTTATCTTTCCGTTTGTTTATTGATTTAACCTGATGGAAATTGTTGATTTTTTCAGCTGATGGTGAAATTCTTTTCTTTGACTTGCAAACGGTGAGACCAATGCTTCCATTAGGGTTTGAAGCTTCCCATAATTCTGAGACTCGATTATCAGTTGCAGCATGTTCTTTCCATTTAATTCCATGAGATGAACATTCAGATTTCTGATCAAGCATGATGTCCTTTGTCAGAAGTGAATTTTCTGCCTCAGATGTTTCAGATACTGGCTTCAAATTTCTACTACACTGGCTGTTCTTAGATTTTAACTCTACAATTTGGCTCATTGCAGATTCAAGATTGGACTGTAGATCAATGTTTTCCTGAACAAGGAGGCGTGTCATCTCAACCGTTGCTTTTCCAATGGCTTGAACTCTAGCTTGCAGACTTAGCAAGTTTGATAATGTATCTTGTACTGTGGCCTTCTCAACTTCATTCAAATGGTTTCCACGTAGATGATTCATCAATTGAGTACCCTAGAAATGAACAACAATGACAAGAATCCAACAATTAAGACAATTAATATTCATCGGTGATACAGCTTGATTTCCTAAAGAACAATTCTTACTATGCAGAACAATATCAACATTATCCTAGCTGAAGATTTTCAATCACATTCAGTCTTACGAGGGAAGTTGAAATTGAAACTTCCAAGAGCACCATATCATATAAGTGATATTTGTTAGAAAGATAGCTGCGAAGTTACGTTATAATGGTGGGCTACTGTCCATTTATTCAGTGATAGATCCTAATCCATTATTTTCAGGAAAAATGTGTTTGATTTCTCATTTTATAGACTAAGGTAAAAGATTCTAGCAAAAGCATATACCACGTCTTTGTATATTCAACTGTGCTGAAACACACAAAAGATTCCAGTAGTTGCTGGTTAAGACCAAGCTAATTAACTTGTTCCAAAGAAACTAGTAATTTCTGGTTGGTAGGGTTCTGTAGGTAAAATGGGATTGAGAAGATAAAAATATTTTCTTGACAAGCTACATTGAAGTGTTCCTATCATGTCATGTTGGTAACAAGAAAACTTGTCAGACTCGAGACAATCCGCAAACAAATTTCTGATGACAAAAATGGGAAGAGTGTGTATGAAAGAATCACATAATGATGGAAGGACTTTGCATATCAGACGCTAGAGGATATTGGACATGGAATGGAATTAATGTTTTATTTGATGTTTAATTAATTTATACTTTTGCTCTTTCCTTCAGTTATATCTAAAGCTGATAATCTATCCATAAGTTTCATTTTACCAAAAGTTGTATGTGACAACTGCAACTCAAATAATATGTTGATATAGATTCAGCTGTATCTTGTCAAGCTCTAGAAGAACTTTAATATCCCATGTCTGTTATGTCATGTCATGTCTGAATTAATGCAAATAAGTAGCAAGTAACATCTCAGCTGGGCGAGTCAAATTTTAGATGATCGATTTCATGGGAATCTACTAAAAAATTTTTAATACGGAATATTAGTTATTTGAGTGTCAAGATTACTCCAATTTAGGAATACTAACTCAACCTCAGATCAATCTGGCTTCACATGTTTAGAATGATAAATCTTACCTCCATTTCCTCATTTTTAGGATTTCGAAGCTTCACATGTAAATTGGTGCAGTTCTCCAGGGATGATATGCATTCCTTCAAAGAAATTGTTTCAGCCCCATAAGCAGTCAATTGACTTTTGAGACCTTCGTTTTCGTCTATATAGCCAACACAAGTTTTGTAGAGCTCATGAAACTTCTGCTCATAGATATGCTGGCTGACTATAGAGGACTGTAATTGACCAAAAACCAATGTAGCATGATTCTCCAACACGTCAATCTCCATACTTAACTGGCCATTCTCTGCAGAGAGTTTGAAAATATGATTTTCTTGGCTGTCTCTTATCATCTTGAGCTCATTATACTTCATCATCAAATATTCCAAATCTTCTCTCAATTTGAACTTTTCAGCTTCTATCAGATTTATCTTCCGTTGGGCTTCCTGAAGTTCCATTTCGTTCTTATGTAACATGTTGTGTCCATTTTCAATCTTTTTATTTAGCTGATTTTTGGCAATGGAGACAATTTTCAACTCATCCTCTGTCTTCTGCAATCTCTCTTGGAGATGAAGATTTTCCATTTGTGATTCTTTCAACCTCCCCTCATTTAAGGTTAACTTTCCCGCAAAAGCACCATTGACACCAAGAAGTTTATTTAGATCATCAACGAGTTCTCTTGATACCATAAATTTCTCACGAACACAGTCTCTTAAAATCGAGGAAAAGTTATCTAGAGCTAATATTTTGCCACATAAAACAGAATTTTCCTCTTCTATGATGCGATTCTTTTTCTTTAGGTGTAAGAACTTGTCTGCCAAGGATCTTTTCTCCTCACAAATTTCAAAATTCTGTTTCTGTGATTTCTGGCAAGAAACCTGCACATCCAATAAATTCCTGTGTAAATTGCCTATCTCGGTCATTAGTTCATCAACTTTGCAATCCCCAGCCCTTAATCCTATTTGAGTGTTTTCAAGTTGAGAAGTTAAAGCATCCCTTTCACTAATCAGATCAATCTTCTCATTGACAAGTAACTGACATGAATCTTCTAAGCTTTTAGATCTATCCTTCAGAGCTTGAAGTTCATCGTGAGCATGAGAAAGGGAATTCTCAAGAACAGTGTTCTTCTGTGAGAGTTTTTCTTGATTATCACGTGATACCTGTAGCTGAGTCATGAGAGTAGCATTCTCATTAAGAAGAGTCAATTTCTCCTCAGAAAGAGATTCCTGGGATTGCTCCAATGAAGTTTCCAAAATTGAACGTCTCTCGAGGAGGAGCTCCAAGTTCTCCAGTTTCTTCAAGAGAACAGCTTTATCACTTCTTTTTCTGTCGCAATTTTCCTTCAGATTAAAATTCTGATCCTGTAATTCCTTCACTGATAATTCTAAGGACTCTGGGTTCAGGCCTATGGCATGCACCTGCTCCAAAAATGAAAGGTGTTTATTGTTCAAATCATTCAATTCTTCTTTCAGGCAATACATTTCATGTTGAAGAGCATTACTTTGACTGATTTGAAGCTCAAGTTCCCCCTCAATGTTAATTTTCATTTCTTTTAAGCTAGAGATCTCATTTTGCATATACTTCATTGACAAGGCTGAAGATGCATTAAGCTCATCCAGGTTCTTGTTCTCCTTCTTAAACTTTAAGGCTTCATCTTTTAAGCTCCGATTTCGGGTCTTTACAACTTTCAAAATTCTAGCCCTCTTCTGTAAATCTGAAGCCACTAATCGCAATTCGTCCTGAGTTTGATAGTGCACGTGCTGCAAAGCTTGGAAAGCTTTTTCAGTGTCCATAAAACGCAAGCGTTCGTCCTGTATACAAACCCAAAGTCTTCCCAATTCCTTATGCTTCTCTGTAAGTTCTTGAGTTTGAGTTCCAATCCTCAACATCAAGGATTCCACCTCAGAGTGAAGAGACTGGTTTAATCTTTCTAACAGAAGACATTGTTCTTCAGCACCTTTTAATTTTGAAGCTCCAATTTCTACCTCGACTGTAAGCCGCTTTGCCTCCTCCTCTGCACATGTGAGTTTGAGCTCTAGACTAGAAATCATCTCCAAGCATTTCTGGTGTTGGAGAGTTGCAGCTTCCTTCTCTTCAGTAAATTTTGAAATGGTCTGCTTCAGAATCAAAACCTCACCTTCTGCTTTTTCTGCTTGCTCTTTCAACATTCTTGATTCTTTTTCAGTAAATTGTAGTTTGTTCTCCAGGTTCCCTATCATCTCCAAAGATTTCATGTACTGATTGTGAGATGCATCTTTCAACGATTGCGCCTCAGCTTCAGCTCTACTGGCCTTTTCATTAAGTTCCTTTGCACGATCTCGGGCACTAGAAATAATATTGTCAAGATCAGCTATCATGGTCAAGCACAGATGGTACCTTTTAAGGGTAGCGTCCTTTTCAGCTTCTAATTTGGACAGTGATTCCTTCAAGATAACAACTTCATTTTCTGCATTGCTTGCACGATCACTAAGAACTTTGGAGTCCTCTCGGGCATGAGAAATATCAAATTCAAGCTTGGATAGTTTATTCAGGCTCTGTTGATACTGAACAAGGACAGCTTCCTTCTCAGCCTCCGTTCGGGCAAGGGTTTCCTTCAAGATCAGAATCTCCTCGGATTGAACACTTAGTTGTTTCTCCTCTGTTTCATCAAAATTAAGGCCCTTTCTCACCATCCCTTCTATCAATTTTGCATGATTACCAGGCCAAAACAGATCATTGTGCTGTTTCAAACCAATCGTTCCCTTTGCAGAATTGGACTCATTTGTGAATTCTCCAATTTGTTCAACAGAATGACAAAAGGATGAAGAGAGTCCCACAGCATCCTTATGCAAATCATCCATTTCACATAATTCACGTACTGGGGTTGAAATCTCAGAAGTTCTAGGGTCAGTCCCAGAGACAGAATTTGCAGATGAATCATCAGAAAATGTTAAGGAAACTTGATTTGGAAAAGCTTCTGCCATAGTTCTGTGAGCCTGGCGAATCACACCAGTTGCATGATCATATCTTTCTGCAAGTGCACGATATGCCCGGTAGAACTCCTCAACTAGTTTCATAAGCTCAGGACGTTTCTTATAATACATCTCTGCTCTCCTTGCAAATGAATCTGCATCTTCTTCTATAAGCTTGATCATTGTCTTGACTTTGGTATCCATATCTGTTAAAGAATGGCAGAATCAGCAGCACATAACAAGAAACTATGCGAAAGTTGAACAACAAAAATAATTTGACCATCAATTGATGAATGAGGTTCTGCTATCTGATTGAACTACGAGAGCAAGTGATTCTTTCAACTGTCTGGTCAAGAGAAGATAAGTAAATGTATGAGATGCAATCCCCTCTAATTGAATTTTATTTATCTTCTGTATGTTTGAAGAAACAAGTAGCGCTTCACAAAATAGGAAAACTTGATCAGCGAATCCATTTCCCAGTGGGCAGTTGTACAAGAAATTAATCTCCTTCTCAAGTTACTCCGCAAAGCCGTGACATAAGATCTTCATGAATATCAAAATGTAAAATTAGTTCCTCTGGCAAGCCATGCCTAGGCTGTAGTATGTCTAGACGCCAACTTCTGGTGCCATCATTACAAGTTATAAGATTATGAACTAAAGGATATGTTGATTTTTAGTGATTGAGAAGCACAAGCACTCTTCGAAGGATGGAGTTCTGGTGTCTGACACATATCGAACAACTACACTACTAGGAAACTTTGTGACAGATATCGAACATGCCACATGGCATGTTCTATTTTTATATACTTATTTGAGTATACACGGGAGGGAAACTTCCCCAACTCACCTCGAAAACCTGCCTCACACACCGCAACATTTCTTGTAGCCTTTTATTTCTGAAACATCAAACATTACTTGCTCCAACCAAACTCACTACATTTCTGGTGCATGCTCGAGGCAATAATTACTCTGTAGTGCTCAATTACCCAGGCAAACAAATAGCTTATAATGTCACTAATACCCAGATGGAAATACTCCCAGACCAAAAAGTTTAAACTGGCTATTCAAATATAAACCAAACCTGGGCAGCAGCAACATGTGTTATATCCGACCAATATTAAGTTGCCTCATCACAAAATGGGAGACAAGACCTAGTTACCTAATCAAGCCTATTCATGGGATGATCATACAAGTAACGCCATTAAGCCTAAGGCCTTATGCTCATCAGAAACAATATCATGGCTGATATAGATTGCAGTAGAGCATTTAACTTCAACAAAATGTATTCAATGTAAAAGGCAATAATATGATCATCAAGCTATTAACACATCTACTCAGCATCTTATCCATCAGGTGACAAACAAAGTAATCCATAAATTATGAGACTCAAACCTGCTCAAGCCAGGCACCTATACACTAGTGTCTATCTGTTCAATCTATATGTCCTCAAAGCGATTTAATCTAGGTAAGATGCAAATTTTTCTTCCAAACCTAAAACTCTACACTATTATTACTTGAACACTTCATTCGATTGAATCTACCATTGAAGCATGGTTGGTCATCCCCTCTTCTTTGTATATATATAAACAGATTCTAAATTAATGTCAAGAACCAATAAATTCCCACAAATAATGAAAGGAATTTTTCGAAATGGGCTTCTTACAATGTGCATTGTGAAACATAACCTTCATTTCCACATTTTCATTTATAAAGCCATGTTTTATGGAAAGTGTCTTACATATCCTTATCATAAAAGACCTTTCTCTTTTTACAATTAGTTGAATTAATTCTAACTTTGTCATAATCGACCGCAATCTAGTCAAATCAACCCCTTATTTTACGGTCTCTTCTAATCAACCTAAGTTCTATCTTCCATGGTTCTGTGGTAGGTAAAAAGGGAGTATGGGCGGGATGCAGAGAGAGAACTGAAATGCAGTGGGAACTAGAATGAATCGGATTTGTTGGCGCTACGGAGCAAAGAAGTAGACGGCAGGGGGAAGGGGTGGAGGCTGGACTTATCGGGGATAGGGAGCGAGAAAGGAGATGGTGATATTTGGACAATAGACGGCTAAGCTTATTAGCTCCTTAAAATGGGCCTTTTTGGACAATAATGAACTGCCTACTGCCCAAAAAGAAGATCCTTTTAAGAAGCTTTCAAGCTTAACAAGGCATATCACAAGAACAAATCAGTAATAAATCTTCAGAGATATTACCTGTAAGGTTCTCCTGAAGCCATTTTGAGTTTTTGGGGCTAATATGGCTATCCCACCACCACGAATACATCCGTCTTGAATCCGAATCCGACAATGCTGCCATCTTTCCTTCTTTATAAAAGCTATGCAAAACTCTGCATAATTCTAATCATAAATCCAAACCCGGAATAAAGTGAAACAAAACATTTCGAACACCCAATTCCATATAAAGAAAAGGGAACTAACATCAAATAATGAAATTCAACAATTTACAGACACTATATAGTTTTAAAATTAAAGATCAGACTCAGATCATGAAAATCAAATCAGAAAATTTATATATTCCAGAGAATCACATAGCTTTTGATTTTTTTATTTTTTGGATCAAAAACTGCTCAACTATCCCAAAAAGAAGAAACAAAATATAGGAAAGAATGACTGAATTCTCATTAACCCATAAACACGATCATCAAAATGTGTTCAAAAACTAAAACAAAAAAGTGAAGTCATGAACAAATCATACTTGATGTATATGGAGAGATACATTCATAAGTATAAAAATAATTATAATTGACTGAAAAAAAATATGAAAAAACTTACTGGAAAAAATGGAAAATGAATTGGAAACGGTGAGTAAAAAGACAGCTCTACTGCTGCTTTTTCAGCTTTATCTTTCTCTTTTTCTTCACCCCATTCTTTTCACATCTCTCTCTGTTTCTTAATTCTCTTTACTTACATATGAGCACGTGATGTGATGATACTTCATGATTATAGACTAACTGTGGTTTCTTGGAAGGGAAATGCTGTTATGGAAAGAAGGTTGGCAAAACACCCAATGACAAAATGGATATACCCAATAAACTTGGAAATTATACGTGTCTTTCCTTTTTTTTTTTTTTTTAATTTCTTTTTACGTTTCACTCTCTTTTATCAATCCTTTCTCTCTCATCTACCTATCCGTAAAAATGGACAAGTATAATATTTTCTAAATTAAAACTAAATCAATAAAATAGATTTAATTAATAATTTCCTTACAAATAACTTATATGCAATTGAATTGTCTAGAATTTATTTTTTCCCATACAAATTATATGCTCGCAATCAAATGCTCCCTTAAGAATATTGGAGTTTGAATCTTACTAATGCAATCTTATAACCCATTTATCTTTGCACTTGAGGGGGTGACAATTGTTGTATTATGGACAAGATAAATTCCTTTTCGAGGTGCAAATGTGAGTTGATTCAACTAGAGGCAAATCGTGTTGTCCACGATCTTGCGAAGTTAGTTATTTCTCAATTTTTTTTTTCTATTTGCTGAATTGTACTACGAAATTCATTGTAAATATCATTGCGACTAAGGCTAATGAATAAAATAAACTACGTCTTTAATTAAAAAAGTTATGTTTTTTTAATATAATTCACAACAAAGTGTTACGTGTTTCAAAATCACGGGTTTACTTTTTAATTTTTAAGTTTACACTTCTTTCTTATACTTAGCCAAACATGCTCTTAAAATCTAATTAATTAAAAGTCGAAAGTTAAGATATATGATAATTGGCAATTTAAAATTTGATGATATTTTAAGCTTGTTTAATTGTGGTGCTTAATGAATTGCTCAACATAGATATTTTGTACTAAAATTTGTTTAGCTAATAAATATGTTTATATTTTGTTCATCTTTCAATATAACAAAGGAAAAAGAATGATCAATTGAAATAGAATATTTGTAGATTGTACTTTTACTACTCGTCTCAGAACTATTGAGAAGATTCAATACTGTCCCATCAGAATGGAAGTTCGAATTGACTGTTAGAATTTCAATTCATATTGATGAAATCAATGTGATTTAATTACGCCCTAAAATGGTTGCATCATAAAAGTTTTTGACTTTTCAGACTGCTAGAAATGGCTGCATCATTAAACTAATCACTTTCCTAATTGTGTATTAAGAAAATCCCGAAATAAATAAAGAGTAATCATTGTTACAACGGCTCTTTACAGAATAAGGGGGTCTTTTGGCTTTGGAAAAGCTATTACGAGGGTCTTTCTGTAATTTCGCGGTAGCTGCTTTTTGGACTTTGGGTGGCATATTGGCCCACATTGATCATGCATAATCAAGTCTAATGATTCTTCACTATTCTCAGTGAAAAAAACTCGAGTACAGGAAATAATTACCAGAAATATTACGGGATTTCAAATTTTATCTCACATGGGGGCCACCCCCATGTGATTAAAATAATGCAAACCCACCCCTACTCCTACCCCTACCCCTACCCCCACCCTCACCTACCCTTACTGTGTGTAGTCGGTTAGGTACAAGGATTTAAATCCATGTAACCGTAGCATCTCTCATTTTCAGTCCGAGGGATAATCGGAAAAGGAATTGTGATGCTAGGATCTTGGGATAGAGACGGTCATATTTTAGTAATGATCAAATTATATCGGAGCTTGTTTCTGTCTTTTCTCAATATTTATATTGACAACAGTGTATGGAACAAATATAATTCAGTGAAATTGATCTATTTATTTCAGTACCACAGGTTTGTTTTTTTCACTCTAAGGTTTCTCAAACAATGTGATATCTTATACGGGTAAATCCTTAACCCTTCCCCCGTCGAAAAACGAAAGAAGACTTCCATCTCCAAGTTTAACTCAGTAGTAGCCACCATATAGTAGTGTCAAACCAAGAATAATGCTCCTTGGACAGGTTTAAGGACTGTTAAGAATTGAAATTTCATTTTAAAAGGTCAACCTTATTAAGAGGAGTAGTCAAATCCTTTACAAGTTGGTCTATTTTTACATCTTTATTCGATATTGGATTCTTTCCATTAACATGCCCTGCAATATGGTGGCTCGTTAGAACAGACCAATCTTGAAATTCGTATGCTCACTTTTGGAATCTTAATTGGATCTAATTGCTCGTTAGAACTTAATGAGTTATGATACCATGTTAAGCATTTGGGTTCCATATTAAAAGGTCAACCTTATTAAGTTGGTCTATGTTTACATCTTTATTCGATGTTGGATTTTATCCCTTAACAAAGATAGGGATGGAAGTGACAGGGTAGTGTGACGACAATGACTGGGTGTTGTATTTTTCTTAAATTGTCCAATCATATGTCGACATGCGTCCCTCCTATTTTTTAACTTGTCATCGTGTCTGTTGGTGTAGTATGCTTGTTTTGTTAATTTGTTTGATTAAATATAGGGATAATTATAGTTGAGGTTCCAAACATTTTACTTTTTTTGACTTTACTCAAGTTTTTCATTCGTATCATTCATGATCCTAAACTTTTAATTTAGTTTCAAACAAAGGAGAAATGTACGATTTTGACTAGAAAAATAAAAGTTTGACCAATTTTAAAATGGTAAAATGATAAATTTATATATATATTTTAAATATTAACAATAAAATAATTAAACTATAAATAAAAGAAGGAAAAAGAAAAGAAATCTGCCTGCACCCCCAAAATATTTTTCCCGACAATTTTTTTATTGTTTGTATCACATTTTAATTGTACTTAATATCTTCTAGTTTGTTTTAAAAAAATATTGTATTAGCGTGAAGAAATATTTTCTCGAATTTTCTTATTTGTTGTATATCTTACTTATTTAAAAATTCGAAGAAAAATAAGTCTTTAAACTCCCTCATTACGATTTTTTTTTCGTTATTAAGTAACAATCCTTTGCTTTTTACAGAGCATGGTGAATAAATTATTGAATTTAAATTATTTAAGGGTTTTTGCAAGAATGAAATAATTTAGATGTAATATATTCAAAGAGTTTTTTTTTCTGATTTTTTCACTTTATTGGACGTTTTATGCTATGTTAAAATGCCATTTTTTTTTACCAAGAATTATACATGTACAGAAACAGAATTGTGTATTTGATGTTTCTTCCAAGTAAAGATAATTTTTTTTAAATTTTCTTTGTCTCAATTATAAAAATATATACATTTTCTTTACAGGTCCACGTTTAAGTCTCATTTTCTGAGAATATATTTGGTAAAATACGATTTTTTTTTCTAGAACGTGTGATTAAAAATTAGAAAAAAGTTTTGAATTTACATGTAGTATTATTTTATTAAGAAAATTTGTAATTGAAAATTAATTTAAAAAAATGAATTTAACAAAAGTCCAAACATGAGTAAAAACCGAGAAATCAATCTTTCTCACTAGTAAAAATGATTGCTTCTTGATTATGTAAAAAAGGACCAAGAGATTCATGAACTTGATATTCATGATTCTAATCCAATTTTTATTTTCTTTAAAAATGATAATACCTATTTATATTTTGTTAAACCATACACCAAATAAACACTATCAAAAAATATAAATAAACTTTTT